TTGAGAGTCCTCTGGATTGCAAAGAGAACAAACCTATCCATTTTGAAGGAAATCAACCCTGAGTGCTCATTGGAAGGACAGATCCTGAAGCTGAGGCTCCAATATTTTGGCCATGTCATGAGAAGAGAAGACTCCCTGGAAAAGACCCTGATGCTGGGAAAGTGTAAAGGCAAGAGGAGAAGGGGACAACAGAGGACTAATTGGTTGGACAGTGTCATCGAAACTACCAACATTAATTTGACCCAACTCCAGGAGGCAGTGGAAGACAGGAGGGCCTGGCGTGGTCTGATCCAAGGGGCCACAAAGAGCCAGACATGGCTTAATGACTAAACAACAACAAGCAGACCAGAGCATGCCTTGCCCCTCCTGTTTTCCATTGCCTCCCGAAGTTAGGTCAGATTCATGCTATGGTCCATGGGGTCATGAAGAGTTGGACACGACTAAACGACTAAACAACAACAACCCATATTGGGCAATCAATGCCTATGGGATTGAGCTGTGAATCTTACACCAACCTTGAGAGGAAGGCCTGTATTTTCATTGTGCCATTAGATCAGAAGCTAAGGGTCTAAGGGAGAATCATCCTTTAAAACACCCAGTGAACCTTACAGGAAAACAGAAACATGAACCCAGGCATTCCTTCTTCAAAATTAACTCCCCTGCTCTATCTCCTATATCACAAATGAAGACAAGAATGTGATGTAAGCTTACTTGCTGCAGACAGTGAGCAGTGAGTTTGTTCCTGAATCACTCAGGCTAGAATTCAAATAATCCCTTATGAGGAATGATTTCCTTTATCCCTACCCACTTGAAAGTAAACATTATAATGCTAAAATGCCAAAGGTGAGAAGCTGGAAATGTTTGTTTCTGTTGTTGCAAAATGACTTGGCCAAGAAATAAACATCTAAGACATTAGCTCGCTTTTGCAAATGAAGATGTTGGGATGTTCAGCTTTATTTAGACATACATTGCTTCATGTGGAAGACACACTTGATAACAAACATCCTGTTTATATTTCATTTGGCAGAACTCCAGTGCAAACTTCTCTTCCTATCCACATCCTTGCCAATATAAGAAGGCATTGCCAGCTATTAAAAACCTGTCTGCTTATTGACTAATCTGTCTTCCCTGCCATCGTGTATAAAAACACATCCATAGTAATTGGCATAGGCAGCTCATGAGTTGAATGTGTGTGGAGTGTTTCTATTCAATTTGAGAGTAGGCACCCCCCCCCTTGGTTCATGAGCCACCATGCTAATCAGTAGTATTCTGATACTCTGCCAAAGTTAGGAAAATGTTGCATATTTTATTTTTAAGAAGTAAAGATTCTCTGGGGGTAAAAATAATGTTGGGAAAGGTCAGAGGCAGCAGGGAAGGAGAAAGACCAAATACAAGATAGTGAGGTAAAGGTTCCCCTTGACATTTAGTCCAGTCGTGTCCGACTCTAGGGGGGTGGTGCTCATCCCTGTCTCCAAGCCACAGAGCCAGCGTTTGTCCGTAGACAGTTTCCGTGGTCACGTGGCCAGCGCGACTAGACACGAAACTCCATTACCTTCCCACCGAGGTGGTCCCTATTTATCTACTCGCGTTTACCTGCTTTCGAACTGCTAGGTTGGCAGGAGCTGGGACAAGCGATGGGAGCTCACTCCGTTGGCTGGTGTTCTGACCTTGCAGCACAGAGGCTTCTGCGGTTTAACCTGCAGCGCCACCACGTCCCACAAGATGGACCGACTCCCTAAAGGAAACTACAGGCTTGAGTTTACAAGAGCTGAGCAGGGCAATTGAGGACAGGATGTTTTGGAGATTGCTCATTCATAGGACCTCCATACGTCAGAGGTGACTTGATGGCACATAGTAACAACAACATTTGCTGCCCCAGTTTATAGTCAAAAGAAGAAACAGTCCTTTAAATGTAATGAGAAAGGCCTGTTCACATCCACAAGCATTATTTGAGATTTAAAGAACTGCTGCAACAGTGAGTTAAAGGAAAGATCTAGCTGTGTACTTAAAGATGACAGCTTATCTGCAAGGAAATTAACATGTTATGCTGTGGACTCTGCATGCTTTTAACATTTAGAGCAGTCAAGCTGAGCTTGCTGCTCTCAGTACTGCTGCTGAGCTTCAGGAAGCAGGAAAAGGAGAAGCAAACTATTCTGATATCGGCAAGGGTGGGGAGTGGCGATATTATAGAATGGTCATTCTCAGCCTGGAGGCCTCCAGCTACTTTGACTATACCTCCCCTAATTCCTAAGCCAAAACAGTTGGGATGTTGTCAGGTGGGTGTAGGCTGTCGAGGGCCTAGAGCAGCAACAACAGCCTTACATCGGTGACCCACAATTCATTGTCCCGGTGCTAGATATTGGGTGCTCAACCTGAGAGCTGGCTATTAGAGATGGGCATGAACTGCTGGTTCAGTGGTTTGTGCCAATTCGTTTATCGGCCAAACAGCTGTTTGGCGCTTCACAGCCCCACCTCTTCTGGAAGGTGCCTGCTCAGAGGCAGTGCCTGAAGGAGGCAGGGCAAAGAGGCCAGGCCACTGGCTCCAAGTAGGAGCCTGCCAGAAGAGGTGGGGCGTTGACGTGTCAAACACCCATTCAGCTGACAAATGAACCGACATGAACTGCCGTACTGGTGGTTCATGCCCATCTCTATAGGCAATATTTTGGATGAACACGGTGAAACTGGAAATCAAGAAAGGTGAAGACAAATAACCTGGTGGCACAAAGAGAGGTTCTATTTTGCATCCTTAGCTACCAGTCAGACAGAGAACATAGTAGTTCCAGAAGCTTTGTTATCAGTCCATGGCATTCGATTGACCCTCAGCTGTCATATGACTTCCCAGGTCAGCAGGCTTATGAAGTGTAGAGTGAAGGAGATACAAGCTAGCAGTGTCTTCTCCAAACTGCTGCAAACAGGAGGAAAATGTTTCCTTTTGTTGTTTTTGCAAAATACACTTTACAAAACAACCCGTTTTTCATGTCTAGAGTAAAAAGAATTTAAAATTAAAAAAAATCTGCAGGCAAAAAGATGCAGAATAGCCAGATTTTCTCCATTCCTATGGTTTGTTTACACACAACAACAAAAAACCTCCCAATATTTAAAATCTCATAACATATAAAGCTCCAATAATGAATAGCAGTAACAATTCAACAGAACTCTAGGAAATGTTTCCCCAGACACCAATAAAAACCACATCCAATGGCAATTACATTAATTTAAAACACACACTTGGTTTTCAATACGTACCAGTTCTCTCTGGTTTTAATTTTTGGCTATTTACAGCTTCTAACACTTTAGGTTTGCAACTCTTCAGCTCTCCAAGGTTACCATATTGAATATTTTGGGACAGTCAGCTGTTAAAAATGCTAAAACATTCTGGAAAAGTAGGTGCAAAGCCATTAATCTTGAAATTGTCAGCGGAATTATTTCCAGTGAGCCCTGATACCTCGTCTGGGAGGCTGTTCAAATTAAGCTCAATCAATAGGCTCGTATAGTATTGGATGCATCCAGGTAATTTGTCATTTGACAATTAAAATAAATGTGGAACATTGTGTAGAACCCTGTAGCCACCTCCAGGATCCAGAATATGAATGGCTCAAGGGTTCCAAGGCTTTGGGGCAGAATTGTCCTTGGTTTTGCTATGTGACCAACACACGGAAGGTCCATTCCTTTCAAAGGGGCAATCTCAAATTCATGCAACTGCCACATAGAGATTGCACTGACCCTCTTGCTCTTTTAATTTGGTTTGGATCCAGAAACCAAAGATCAGGTGATCTGTTAAAATACTTCAAGTTATTAAAAACACATAACAGCAACAGCAGTAGCAGCAGCAACGCCATCACCAACAATAACAATATTAGAATTGCAGAGCTGGAAGGGATCCATAGATCATCAAATCTAACCCTTGACAAGGAGGTACAGTGGGGAACTGAACTCCCAACTTCTGGCTCTGCAGCCAGAGACCCAAGCCACTGAGCTATCCAATATCCATGTACAGCAGCCAGAGACCCAAGCCACTGAGCTATCCTCTATCCATATACTTATTTCAAGAAGCAATACACACATATTCCTTATCTATAGAAAACACAGGAAAGGGGCCAAGATTTCAGGAAAGCTGTGCTTGGTATGCAGACGGTTCCTGCCAGCATCATCAGCTTGAAAAATGCAGGTAACCATGGGTGTAGTGGGGAACGTCTTTGCCTCAGATTATTACTGCTGGTAGAGAGCTGAGCTTTACTTTGGAGATTACACCTCCCAGAATCTTTCTTATACAACATTTTGCTCTCCAAATATCTATGTCAAATATTGCCAGACTGGCTTGAACAAATCTTTGCAATTCCCGCTTTTCTTACAGTTTTGAGGAGCCTGGGGATTCCTGCAAGAGTTATTACTAATTATTCCTCAGCTCATGACAATGATGCCAATTTGCAGATGGATGTCTTCCTGGATGAAAATGGAAAGATAGATTCCAGACTCACGAAAGACTCCATCTGGTAAGTTTTCAGGCGAGGTATAATTCAACTGCTTTGTAGTATAATAGTCAAAGGATTGGTCCTGGATTGGTCTCGGGGATATTCCAAGTATTTGTCCACACGGAGTGATGAAATTCACTAGAAGGCCTTGGGCCAGTCACGTGATCTTAACTTGACCTACCTCAGAGGGCTGTTGGGAGGATACAGCGGTGGGGGAGGAGAGCCACTGAATACGTTACCTTGAATTCACTGAAGGAAAGGTGGCCTCTGAATGTACAGGGAAGACTGAACAGTAGGCTGGAATAGTATCAAGATGTATGTCACTTAGCAAAACGTCTACAGAAACAAATATGCTAATATCCTATTAAACTGTTCACCCCCACGCCATTGAGCAAGCAGGAGAGTTGGGCCATACTTAAGGGTCCCATGCCCTCCATTGCGTTCCCATTCACCTGGCGTTGCCACTGTTCTTGCATTAGTAGAGGAATGTCTGATGCAGGAAGCCTGCTCCAGATGCTCCCCTAGAGTCCTAGATCGAAATCACACAGGGACCCCATGCACGTAAAATGGTCTTCCCAGTTCTGGCAAGTCATGTGAAGGCAATGCCCAAACTGTGCATGGATACTTCTTACAGGTAACCTATAGGCTACATACAATCAATTTATCTCAAATATAGCCAGCTTCTATATACTCTCCCAACAAGGAGAACATCATGGAGTTGGGCATTAGCAGAAACTGGGGTGCTGGAATGAAGAAAAATGGCTGGGGGAATACGAGGTCTGTGCACTATATATGTTTGCGACCCCTGCAGTGAGCCAGAGAGTATGCAGTAGCTGTGCACTTGCTTTTTCTATGGCCCACATGTGATGTTTTCATATGACTTTCATTTCATGGAGCCATTTATTCTTTAGTGCTTCTTCTAAGCTTCCTCTAAAATTAAAGCAAGTGGAGCTTTGCAGATCTATATTGGGGAAGAGTGAGCTCCATGGTGGTTTAAATCTTGTGCTTTCTGTGTTTCCTTTGGGAAGCTTGATTACTTTTTGAACTTCCCCTTTAATCTCCTCTCGTCATGGTATATTTATTACTACATGATGCACATAACCTCTTGGGGCGTACATTAATTTAACCTATGGTTCCTTCTGTTTCTCCTCTGCGTCCTTTCTCTTCCTTTCTACCATTCATTGGAAATCTTATTCTAAACAGTTTTGTATCCCAATCAGGTGACTTTTAAAAACTCTTTCCTGTTTTTAAGGCCAAATGCAGAATGTTTACATCATTTTAAACATTTATTTCTTCAGGATAATAGATGACATTGCATAGTTTTTTAGCCCTTGAATTCCATTTTTTCCACTAACCAATATGTATTTCTATTAAATATTATATTAAAATTATGTTAAAAATTACATTAAAATTAATTATGAACTAATGGAATCTATACAAATTATCTAGACTTCAGACAGCTGTTGTTTCAGGTGCATTCTGTTAGCTTTAGAAATGCTAATCTTGAACAGCCACGAAGTGAATTCCGACTGAATTTCTGTCAGTTGGGCATTATGGTTGCTGTGTTGCATGACTGTGAAAGTACCATGTATTTCTGTCTGCCTTCTTTACCCTGTTATGTGGAATGAACCTATTAGATTTGTAGTACAATAGAGCAATAGCTGCATGCCCCCCACAGATTGACAGGGGAATGGAACACATTTTGCCTTGGAAATCAGCATCGTTATAAGACCTGCAATGCACTGCATGCGAAAATGCATTCACACCATGCTCATGTTTAAACAAGGTATACAACTTAAATGCATGCATTTGAAATACATGCAGAAATATGTTTTTGTGTGTTTATGTGCCATCCAGTTGATTCTAACTTATGGGAACCTTAGTAGGTTTTCCAAAGTATGTGAGATATTTAACCAGTGGTTTTACTATTGCCACCCTCTGTGAGTTTCCATGGTCAAGCAGGGATTTGAACCCAGGTCTCCTGAATCCCAGTCTGATACCCAGTCCACTACATTGTCTTGGCTCACACTCAAGGAAACATTAGTACAAAAACACAGTGACCAGTGCATATGTTTTGAGAAATATGCCCTGAGGTACACATCAATTTCTGTGCAGAAAATAAAAAAGAAGTCTCTCAATCTGGTATGTAACTCTGATGGAACAAGTGTGGGTTGTAAATGGAGAAACTGAGTGAGAACAAAGCCTTACTCAGACATTATCTGTCTGTTTATAGTCACTACAGAGAGAGGAGAGCACCCTAGTTCCACCCCCTCTGTTTCTGGCGTTGTGGCTCTCCATGTAAAGGGCAAATTATTTGAAGAGGAACCTTCTCCTCTATCTGTGTGAACTCTCAACATGAGAAAATCCCAAATGATTGGGAAGGAGACACCAGGAGGCAGGGAAAATGACGTCTGACTGTCCGCACTCTGGGACTCGCCAGACACAAACTGGGCCCCAGGTTGAATTAGATTGGCTTTGTCCAATTATTCAGGTCCACTTGTTCAAGGCCATAGAATTCTGCTCGTGTAAAGCTTTCATCTGTGAGCGGGAGAGAAATGGCACCAGAAACAGGGGGTTGGGTAGGATTAAAAAGCTCCCCGTCTATTCCTAGTGATTGGAAAAAAGCTAGACAATCCCTGCAAGAATAATTGGACATCATAGCATTCCCAATGTATTTTTTTTAAAAAAACAAACAAACAAACAAACAAAGAGCTCCCCTTCTATTCCTAGTGATTGGAAAAAAGCTAGACGATGCCTGAATAAAGGCTCAAAACTGTCAGGTTTCTAAATCTCCACCTCACTGTCCCTCACTATCTTTTCTGTCTAGTAAGCCAAAACATTGGATAACCACTGGCAAGGCCCTGCAAGAGTAATTGGACATCATAGCATTCCCAACTGTTTTTTTTTTTTAAAACAAAAACACCAAACAAAATCAAGCATCAGTTTCCTTGGATAATTCTTCCTCCCTCCTCCTGCTTCATTAACTCATCTAGTTGACAAATTAGTCCCTCATCCTGGCTATCATTTTTACTTTGAAATTTATTTTTAGATAAACCTCAAATTTGCACTGTCTCACTTTTTCTCTTTCCTCCAGCCATAATATAATAGAAGAGTCTGAGTTTAATGACCCTCAGATTTGCTAAGATGTTATTGCTAATGCCATTGTATCAGGTATAAGAAACAGTGACTATAGTAACATAATTAGCTTTTTCTTTACTAGCAAGCAGTGGAATTGTTCAGTTTTTTTCCTTTATACTACCATGGTTCAAATCTCTTGAACATAGTCCCCCCCCCCTCCATGTGTGTGAGTTTTAAAGAAAATGATTGTTCTTCCTTGGCAGATTGTTTGAATGATGACTGTGTAGCACTTTTGTCAAGACCAGGACATACCGAGTCAAATCTGTGCTAGTGGGAGTCATATCACAGTAAGAGAACAGCTACCCCACAGGTTCAATTCCAATTGTGATACAGTAGTATGAGAAACTGAATTTCTTCTTCTTCTTGCTCCACACGTTTTTGTTGCCCTTCTGGCAGAGAAGACAAAATGAAAAGGAATTTTTGCGCAGATTAAGAAAACTGTGCAAAATAATATTTTAACACAAATAATGCTTTAACACAAATAATGCTTTAACACAAATAATGCAAATTGCACAAAGCAACAATGGTAGCTAAGAGAACAGCTACCCCACAGGTTCAATTCCAATTGTGATACAGTAGTATGAGAAACTGAATTTCTTCTTTTTCTTGCTCCACAAGTTTTTGTTGTCCTGCTGGCAGAGAAGACAGAATGAAAAGGAATTTTTGTGCAGATTAAGAAAATTGTGCAAAATAATGCTTTAACACAAATAATGTGTTAACACAAATAATGCAAATTGCACAAAGCAACAATGGTAGCTGTCTCGTTGCATTGGCTTTCAATTGATTAAGAAACATCCTACATACAAGGGAAGGAGGGTGGGTAAAGACAATGCACAGATTGACTGTGTTTTTGTTTGGACCCTCCTTTATATTCCCCAGCCGGTCGGGGTGGAAACTTCCACTTTCCAATCCACTCACCTAGCCTTACTTCTATTGGTGGGCTTTCCTGTGCTTCTGATGCTGCCTGCCCCAGATGCAAGGCATCCTGGGAAGGAGACACCAGGAGGCAGGGGAAATGACTGCTGACTGTCCACACTCTGGGACTCGCCAGACACAAACTGGGCCCCAGGTTGAGTTAGATAGGCTTTGTCCAATTATGAATAGCCATCCTTCATTCCTATACACATCAATTAATGATACAATTGTAAGAGAGGAATAAATATGCACCTTTGATTTGACATGAATGATGCAGCTTGGCATTTTAACATCCTTATTTTTTTTCTGGGTTAAGGAACTACCACTGCTGGAATGAAGCCTGGATGTCCAGACCTGATCTTCCTGTTGGTTTTGGAGGCTGGCAAGCTGTAGATAGCACTCCTCAAGAAAACAGTGACGGTAAGCATCTCAGTCCTTCCTTAAAAATGGATTCATTTGAAAAGTGGAGGAGAATTTTACAAATACCTTGGACTGCCAGAAAGGCAACAGGGAAAGAGGAAGACCAAATATGAGATGGACTGGCTCTCTAAAGAAAGCCGCAGGCTTAAGTCTACAAGAGCTGAGCAGGGCGGTTGAGGACAGGACCTTTGGAGATAGTTATTCAAGTCACCGTAAGTCAAAAGCAACTTGATGGCACATAACAAGAAGAAGAAGAAGAAGAAGAAGAAGAAGAAGAAGAGGAAGAAGAAGAAGAAGAAGAAGAAGAAGAAGAAGAAGAAGAAGAAGGACATTATCTTATTCTCAGATAGCAATGAGGAATCTTATGGACCTTCAAAATTCCTTATCAATATGTCTTACCAATATTGACTTTTAAAAACTCTTTCCTCTTACCACTAAGACAGTTTAAAAGAACAAGGATGAGGACTTTAATGACCCTTTTTCACATCTCTGATCCAAACCGCTCAAAATACAAAGCAGGATACTTCCAAAATCTTCCATTCTACCAAGTTTGTCAAGACTGTGGTGGCTTCTTGACCGCTGAGTTGCCAAGTCATACTGAGTTCTCTTGCTGAGTCGTAACCAAATAAATATTCTTCCTACACTTTTTGGACCCATTTTTCCTAGCTTGAGTGAGACAATCCTGGCTAGGGGTGGGACTTTTGGATGAACCAAATCCCCAGTTCCATAATTCAGTGGGAAAACTGCAGGCCAAATAAGAGGGAGCTGTGAAATGGCGGAAACAGAGCAGCCCTCTAACCTCCATGCCGTTCTTCTGCTGATTGTTCGTGCCCTCTGAAAAGCGCCCACCTGCACCTTTGGGGTCGTGAGGATCCCCTACTACTCAGAAAAGTGCACAGGGGAATGAGTTCCAACAGAGGCTTCCTCCGTAAAGAGTGTGTGGAGGCAGCTTCCGTCAGCTTAGAGGGCCCAACAGCCTGATTCAGTACATGGGCACCTTCCTATGTTCATATCTGGCATTGTTTTCACTCTGTTACAATTCTCGTTCTATATACTGTTACATTCGCGCGCGCACCTCATTTCCAAACAATGAGATGTTTCATGGGCTCCCTTATCCAAGATTCAGTTTCATGAGATGTTTTCCCTGAAAATGTATGGTGATGTAAGGTGTTTGGTTTTTTAAACACATATATTCAGGCTGAGTGTAAGGTGAGAGTCTAGGGCACTAAGATTCCAACAGATTCCTGTTCCCCATCAGATATCTTCTAGGAGAACCTGCAACACCACTAATTCTTCTATAGAGTGCAAAGTTTCCCTTTCTTCTGAACACAAAGGTAGCTTCATTGTTCTCATCCCAGCCTTGATAAGCAAATTGCTAAGGCAATAGGGGGAGAAGGGCAAGTCATCTTTGTTCATCCCATACTGTGGCCTACTTAGGCCACCCCAGCTCTCAGTAAAATGCATCAACAGAATGTTATGGGCTGCCTATTGCCTATTGTTGGGTCTTTGAGAGCTGTCACCTTAAGCACCTTCACAGATCACTCCACTTGCTGACATCTAAGAATGAAGAGTTAGAGATTTGGAAGGCATCCCAAATCTCTCAGAGGTACTGGGCTTTAAAAAAACTCTGGAAGTTCATTTAGTTCATTTAGAAACCCTTAACACAAGATAGCTGGGGAAGAATGGCGAGTGTCATTTAGATGTGCATGCAAATGTGTTTCTCATTAAAACCTGAAAGCTGACTTCTACTGAACCTGGTTCATTTACTCCACTTTCTTTCTAGGTTTTTGGAGGGCAATCCATTTCAGGCTCTCTCGAACTTGTCAGGATTAGAACCTGGTACATCCGCTATGGTGCTACACTTCTTTCTCAAAATAGGGGAAGGCATGCGAATAATGTGCACATTTGGATGCACATATTGTCTACTTGCACAATGTTAGTTTTAACAAGATAAGATTAGAATGTGGATGTATCATCATCTACATTCTGCCCTCAGCTGGCTAAATTTTAATAAGTTTCTTTGGTTTCCACATCAATTTCATGCTCCCTCTTCTTCTCACCAGTACCCACCTTCTCATGAACAACTTAATGTATTTTCACAGAGGGGTACAAAGTATTTTTACCCCATTTTAAATGCATTGAACTTGTGGAGGTGAAGTAGTGGAACATATGCCCTACTATCTTTTGCTTTGCCCCTTGCACGATAAAGTAATACATGGCCATGCTTATGTTTAGGCAGCCCATTTTCCATGGCCGTTCAGAATCATAATCTTCTGTTAAATTGGAAGAGCAAACGAGAATACTGCTAGATACTAGATTTGTACAGATTTGTGTTTTTGAACTATAGCTCCTTCTGGAAGCTGTAGTCCTATACCATAAATCTGCAGAGCCTCTACTGGACAGTTGTTGTTTTTTTCTATTAGTGGTATCTAGAACCTGAGCAAATGTTGTTTGGCATTTTGCTCCATAACACCATCATACAGACTGTGCATGTTTTAGTGGAATTTTATTTCTGCTCTGTGTCACTGTCAAATTGAAGTATTATTGGTATATTGCTGCCCATCAACCCCTTCCGATGTCTGTAAATGTGATATGCATTGACTCTGTTGTAATAATATAGCTTTTTGGAAACTCAGCTTTCTTGCAGTGCGCTTTGCTTGACAGCAGATCAAATTGATGGTATTAAAAGATCTGAAATCAGAAGTAATCAGGGAAGCATGGTCTCTGGTGGCATTTTAGGAGCCTCAATAATTCATATCCCCTTTTTGATTCGTCACATTCAGGCATGTATCGGTGCGGTCCCGCCTCTGTTCAGGCTGTTAAGCATGGACATGTCTGCTTCCAGTTTGATACACCTTTTGTTTTTGCAGAGGTAAGCATCTATGAAAAGTACTTTTCATCAAAGAGCCCCCGAGTAAGAAATATGATTGAGACAATTCCCAGGGGGATTGCCGTGTTAGTCTGTTGCAGCAAAAATGACAGGCTCTTAAGGCACCTTAAAGACAGACAAGAATCTGAAGAAGCGAGCTACATTCTACAGAGGCTTATATGAAATAAAGCTTATCTGTTTTTAAGGTACCATAAGACTCTTTCTTATGACAGAGACAATCATAGCTCTTTGCTTTTACACATGAAGTCAAGTCATGGTATTCACTTGAATTTTATTTATTTAAACAATTTGGGTTGATTTAAAAACATTTTCAGGGCAACACGTAGAATTCACTTTACTACTACTACTACTACTACTACTACTACTACTACTACTACTACTACTACTGGAATCATGGTACTACTTAACAATGGATTCTCCGTTGCCCGAAATCTTAGTAGCAGTACAGCTCCTGTGCAGAAGAAGTGACCATTTTCATCAAGATAGCCAAAACAAAGAGGACCATGCCACGTAAAGATGTTGCAAGAAGGGGAGAACAGCAAAATATGAAGGCCTGTGGTTGGCTGGCTGAATAGTTTAGTGGTTTAAGTATCTGGCTACAGAACCAGAGGTTGGGAATTCAATTCCCCACTGTGCCTTCTATGTGTTAGTTAGGCATCCTTCAGTCTCGAAAGACTATGGTGTCGTGCTGTGTATGGAGGACTTGGAACAGCGTCTAGTGTGGCTGAAAAGGCCAATTCGAGAGTGGCAATCTCTTCCACACTGAAGACAAATCCAATCTGTCCCCTGTCTGTGTGTAGAGCTAGCCTATGTGGCTACACAGTCCTAGTCTCAAGGTATCTTCCCCCCCCCCC